TCATGTTCATCATATTGCAGCATTTGTCCTGTTTTTTCATGCATTATGTGAATAAAGGGATCATCAACTGATCAAGATCCTATTATCTGTTTAATCTGGAGGACCTGGAATTAGAGATAAAGAATGTTTTTTTTTAGGTATTTCAAAAGGCAAAAAAAAAAAAAAAGCTCTGCCATATTTTGAATGCATGCATTGTTGCGTTTTGCTGTCTGGAAGTATGTCAATTCCAACCTATACTCATACCATTGCTTTCTCTTTATTTTTGCACTACAAAAATGGTAATAGTCCTGTTAAGATTTGGATTGATCCCTGCCTCAGTTACATTGCATACATAAACTATTGTCCTTGTCATGTTCATCATATTGTAGCATTTGTCCTGTTTTTCCATGCATTAGGCAAATAAAGGGATCATCAAGGTCCCATTATCTGTTTAAGCAGGAGGACCTAGAATTAGAGATAAAGATTTTTTTTTTTTTTGTATTTCCAAAGGCAAAAAAAAAAAAAAACAGATCTGTACAAGGAGAAACCATTTCTATAAATCATCATTCAGACCCTTGTTTATGCCTGAGAATTGGAGGGATTGTAACTGTTTGTTCCTATGGTATGCTACTTTTCCACTAGACAATATGGAGTTGTCCTGTTGTTATGCTTTTGCGCGTGTCATCTACATGTGAGCACTTGTTTCCTGTTTTGATATCAACTCTTTTCCTAATCTATTTTGCTTGATTACTCTAAATGAGTGTTGTAATTGGTACAGGCTCACTCACCACTTGACATCTTGCTTTTTCAGTGCAAGTGTATTATAAAACACAATTTTAGATATACACGCTTGCCGTCTTCATCACATGGATCATACTTGCATACATAGTCCTGCTGGTTCTTATCAAAAGAACATATGAAGGGAATTCTGATTTGCTGGTATTGGTCTTCCTTTCAATACAACATACCAAGCCACTGGTTTTTCTTGTGTGGTACATTCATTTGGAGTGAAAATCTTTCTTTCCAATGCAATGGATGAACAGCAGCGTTTTTCCTTTAGCATCAAATGGGGAATGAGAGCCATTATTTGAAATTTTGAATACCGTAAATCTGTTATTTCAAAAATCATCCTGCCCAGATGATCACATCAAGTAAGGATTGGTTATAATCATGATATTGGCTGATCATAAAGTCTCACACTGCACTGACCTAGCCATCTTTTTGTTGGCCTTTTCTATTCTATATTTTATTTTCTATCTATAGCTAATTGTCTATAGAATTAATTCTGATTAGTTTAGTGATTGTAAGAATTAATTTTTAGTTTATATATTTGCTCAAAACTCATTATAAAAGACTTGATTGTTTGGAGCAAGATACATTATCTTCATAAATGAATCAATTTTGCCTCAACTCATGCTTCAAATAGTTAAGGGTGCAACTGGGACAGGTTGGGTTGAGTGTAACTTCTTAATGGGCGTGAACCCTAAACTGATCCTGATGTAGTAAAGTTTTTCATTTCAAGTAACCTGCCTTGCACTGATGCTGATAATTGGTTGATCATAACACTGCAGTGTCCTTACCGTCCTTGTTAGATTTTCTTATCTAGCTTATCACAGAGAAATCAATTCTGATGAATTTTGTATTTCTTAGGGATTTTTAAATTTTGGTTGTAGAAAATAACTGGGAGTAATTCGTTTTTTCTAGCTCAAAACTCATTTAAGACTTGATTCTTTGGATTACCTAAACTAAATTAGCTTCAGAAAAGAATAATTTTTGGCTCAACTCTTTCAATAATTTAAACAGTATTTGAACCAAGCAGCCTATTTGGTGCGACCTGCATTCCTATTGAACCGTTGACGTGTAGGAAAATGTTGTAAATTTCTTTCTGTTGAATGCTGGATCTAGATATATGGTCAAACCCGTATTACTATTGCTTTTTATTGCTTTTTGTTCGTGTTTTTCTTTACAGGCAAAACTGCACATGGGGTATTAGGAAAACTACAAACCCTCAGCCAAGTACTTGAACTGGCTGCATGGAATATTAGAACAGAAATGTGAGGGAATGACTGAGATGACTGTTGTACCTAAAATTGTGATACGACAGACCTTTACAAGAAAAACCGAACTGCATATTTGTCTTACCATGTACCTTTTTACTCTTATTTGATACTAAATATAGACTTTCACTTTTGGCTATCTTTGAGTCTATGGAAGCCTAGTCTCTAGGTCTCACTACATCAAAAAGGATAAGCTCTGTAGAGATCGTTGGTCCCATAAAATGAAAAGCCATGAGCATTAGCATTTAGCAGTTCTACACAAGGTTCAAAGTATTAATATCAGAGTTTATAGAATGCTGGGATAAGTGGAACCTCACATAAATATTGCCAGTGCATTCTTTTGATCAACTATGACAATTACATTGAGACAATCTCAATTTCTTTTGTAAGGTGGTGTTCATGCTTTCACAATGTATAAAGAATTTTTGCTTGCGGAGAATCCCATTGCCCATCCACGAGGCAATTTAGATACGAGGGTGCTCTTCTGCATTTATGTTGATGACTAATCCTGAATTTGGTATATTAATCATCCGGAGTACGGATTTGCCTAATGCAGATTTCTGATTTACACTGCAGAGTTATAAACATTCAAAAGGACCACAACCCACACTCTATGCACCAACGCCCGCCTATGAATTGGCATCAATTCCGAGCTGGCACCTACCCTAACAGTACTTTGAGCCTATAAATTCTGACCATGGGCTGATCGGTCATCTCCCATGATCATCTGCTTGGTTCACCATGCCTCTTGTTTGAGGGATGGATTTTGTTCTGTTGCAGCTATTGTCAGAGACCATGTGGGCAAAGTCTTGGAATTCAAAAGCTTCACTCTTGGCACTACTATTAATGCGTCTGAGGCTTGGGCTGCGTGGGAAGCTCACAATCTGGCCCTTAACTTTAATGACTATTCAACTACGATTGAGGGTGACTCAAAGATCGTTATTGGCTGTTTAAAAAGGAAAATATCACCCCCGAAGAATCTTAGGAACATCATCTTGGATTGCTTAAAGCTAAAGGAGTCATTGGAGAGAGGTGTATGTTACAAGCACGTATTCAGAGAGGCGAACCAGGCGGTGGATTGGCTCACTCACAGGGCGATGTCTTCTCCTCACTTTGTTTTTTCTTTTAATTCTTGTAATCTTCCTAGGGACCTTTCTTTTATTTGCTTTAGTGACTTTTGGGTAGTGCTTCCCCCCATATTGTGTAGCACATTTTTCTCATATAAAAAAAAACTAGAAATGGACTATGGCAAGAGTATTTTCGAGGCCACTTCTTACACAATCATTACAAATTTGGACTAGTGATGTCTCCTTTTGGTTTGATAAATGGTGTGATGGGGGCCTCTCTAAGAGATACATGAAGGCCTTTGCGGCAATAATATGGGGCAGGGCCGTAGGATAAAAAGCTCTCAAACAAGGTTACTTCTAGCCCACCATGAAGGAAGACTCAATTAAGTTCATCCAAAAGTGTAATCGATGTCAAATTCACTCTAATGTACCACATTAGCCTACGATGTCCCTCATGTCTATTAGTAGTTCGTGGCCTTTTGTACAATGGGGAATATACATCCTAAGACTATTTCCCCTGCCTTAGGTTATAGGAAGTTCTTGATAATGGCAATTGATTACTTCACAAAATGGGTCAAATCCAAAGCTTCTTTTGGAAGAATATCATCTCACTTCAACATTCCTCACACCTTGATTACAAACAAACAACCGGCAATTCAATGACTCAAAGTTCATAGACTTTTGTGCAAGCCTTGGTAAGGAGTAATGATTCACCTCATTCATGTACCTATAAACTCATTGACAGGCCGAGGTGACCAACAAGACTATATTGCATGTCTTAAAGACCAAAATCACAAGAGTCAATGCCCTATGGGTTGAAGAACTTCCTAGTGTGTTGCAGGCCTATTGAACCACACCTTGGACCACCACCAGCGAGATACCTTTTAAATTTGCCTTTGGCACTGAAGCAGCCATCCCATCAAAGATTAGCTAATAGATCCTTTAGGCTAATATACCTATGATGCAACATAAAAGAGTGAGGAGCTCAGAGGCAACTTAGACCTTTTAGAGGGGGTCTGAGAGGGTGGTTCGGTACTACAACTTCCAACTCCAAAGACTATTAGACAATGCATGCCCTTAGCTCCAATTAAGTAAATGTATACTGAGGTTTATGAATTAATAAAATCATATCATTATTGTTTCATGTTTGTGATTGATGTGTTTTCTATGTGTTATCCCATAAATTAGGCATTTATGATACTTATGTTATTTTAGAATGTTCTCAATCACTGAATAAAATTGAGGAATTTATCCTGGTAAAGTTAATATCAATGTATTGCCGATCAATTTGGTTAACCGCATTTTTCAGCCTGGTTTTCTCGGTTCGGTTCGATTTTTTAGTTTTTTATGAGCACCCCTACCTGTGATTAGTGTTTAATCATTTTGGACTGAGAGGTTAAAATCAAAAGACCATCAAAGGGATGAAACTTGATGGGATTTTCTTATGTTAATCATTAACCTTGGGCTTCGTTGGATAACTAAAACTTAGGGTTACTAAGACATAAGTGTTGGGCCCATACTAAGCCCAATTCTACTGGCTTAGGGGTTCACAAGGTTGACTCGATGAATTCAGCCCATATGCTTTCTTGCATGGGCCAAACCCATATGGTTTGATATAAAGCTTTAATGGGTTCCATGCCATACATTATTCAAGCCCAATAAGGCTTTTAACAATTATGACAATGAACCACTTAAGTAATGAACCTTAGCCAATTAGCTATGGGTTATTTAGTACTATGGTCATTTATTTTAATAAACATTTTATATTTTTTTATCATGAAAGACAAGAGAGTGGTCGATAAACGTTTATTCAATGTTGTTTGATAGCTAGGCGCCATTAGACGCCATTATGTGCCATTAATTGCTACATATGCTTAACAGTAAATAAAAGAATGAGTGTTGGGGAAAACATTAAAAATGATATTTCCCCTACGACTAGATTTCACACAAATCGAATAAATGTTTATTTAATAAGTAATGTTATTATATAATGGTGTTTCCCCCAATGCCTACATAACATCATCCTAGTTAAACTATGTGCATTAGATCAAATATGGCTATGGATTTGGATATGGATCTTCATAATAACTAAGGCAATTAGAGACCTAACCAAATCAAATTTGGATGGTCCTAATTACTTTAGAATTAAAATGTATATAAAAGAGATGAGGTAGAGGTCAACATACATTAGTGCACCTCCTTGCACTTTGCACTCTACTCTCTTGTTATCCAAAAACCCTAGTTCAACTTACTTCGAGAAATTAAGTGGTTAACAGCTGCATACATCCAAGCAAGTTGAAAAGGAAAAATCAATTAAGACTAGTTGTAAGATCAACCTATTTAGATCAACTACACCATCTCCCATTGGGAGGGTGATTTAGCTTTAATCCTTGCTGAAGAACATGAAGAAAATCCTTAGTACAATTTGAAATATTTTCAATGAGATGGAATGGTTGCATGCCAGTAAGAACAATAGACGATAGCACTTGTTAGCTGATGCCAGTTTGAGAAGATTCACATCAGACCCACTACAACCCAAAGTATGCTCCGGATCCAAGCCAGACCCCAAATCCGAAACTATAACATCTATCATAGCCCCAAAGCCTGCCCTGGGCCCAGACCATGATTATTAAAGCATTTTACTTTATATATTTGTATTTGTATTCTTTTCAAATTAAATCTTAGGCTCAATTTGGAAGGAATATAAATATAAATATATACAATGCAAATGCATACAAAGTATAAAGTTTTACGGTCTACACATTTGTATTTGTACTCCTTCCAAATTGAGCCTAGTACATATAATAGTACAAATATAAATATTGGAAAGAGAACATATACAAATTTAGAAATACAAAATAAAAGGCTTTGCATCGTCCATATTTGTATTTGTGCTATTGCCAAATAAGCCTAATGCTCCAAGGATGACTGGTGATGACACGCCATTATGTCCAACAGGCAACAGCCATCAAATCAACCTCCAATTTGACGATAGAAAACACCTCTCGAAGAAAGAAAACTCGGTTATAGTCCAGTAACTAGTTTATAATAGGCGGGAGCGGCTGGACATGCACTCACTAGGGGGGGTAGTGAACATATATAGGCGACAGAACTGATTAAGTCACACTGAACAGCCCCAAACAATTAGGTCACTGACCATTTAGCGGACCTGAAAAAAAAAAATGAGAATAATCGTACATTCTATGTGCCTAAAGTATAGTTGGGGTAAGTGTGTATAGAGTATGGGTTTTTGAGCTTTTGAATGTTTATAAATTTGTAATTGTATTCAGATGCATTAGGCCTGTACTTTTCCGAAAAAAAAAATATTGTGAAAAGCCAACAAGGGAACATGCAGAAGAGTCAAAATGTGTAGTTTAAAAATAAAACGGACTATGCCCACTTTTCTGTTTTTTCCCCTCTTTTCCCTTGATATATTCCTGCCCTTCAAAAATAATTGGGAAAATTTACAATCCATTACCGGAACTTTTGAAACATTACTGTTAAGAGTAAAAGTCACTGTTCATATTCTTCAGAGAGCAGCCAAATGGGCGCTCAATAATAGGTCAAATAGGCCAAAATTACTACGCCATGCCACGAGTGGTTCCAGAGGTTTATAGGGAAGCACCACCACCCGTCTATAGTGTGGATGCACCAGCGGCAGCAGCACCTGCACCTGCAGTAGCGGCACAAGCGAAGGTAGGGGCGTATGCAGAAGGTGGGGTTGGAATGGTAAGGCCAGCAGAAATGGCGGACGCAGGTTATACGCAGATCGCCTACGATGGCGCGGGCCGCGGGGAGGCAAATGTACTATTATATTATACAACAGCGCAACCAGGTGTGGTGCCCCAATACCAGACAATGACGGCTGGTCTGGTATTGTGCGGTGGACATGGCGTCTCTCTCTTCAGGGCTAACAATAATGAGCTTCACGTAATAATGTTCCCATGGTTAGCTTTTGGGCACATGATGTCGTTTTTGGAGCTCTCCAAGCGTTTAGCTCAAAGGGGTCATCGCGTCTCCTTCGTTTCTACACCTAGAAACATCCAAAGACTCCCCAAGATCCCTCCAAGCTTAATTACCATCTCTCCTGCATCTGGTGGAGCTCCCCTTACCTCCCATCGACGGTTTGCCGGAGAACGCTGAGGAGACAACTATTGATCTCTCATACCACAAGGTCCATTACCTTAAGAAAGCCTTCGATGGGTTGGAGGGACCCTTGACTCGTTTCTTGGAGGGCTCATCCCCGAACTGGATCGATCCTTCACGATTTTGTGCCTCACTGGTTATCGCCCATCACAGCCAAGCTTGGCATGCCTTCTGCTTTCTTCAGTATCTTCAATGCATCAATGCATGCCTTCTTTGGGCCTCCGAGTGCTTTGTTGGGTGGGGATGACTGTTGGACGAAGCCGGAATAAGACTTCACCGTTCCGCCCAAGCAACTCCCTTTCCAATTGGCATTTCGCCTCTTAGAATGGTCGATGGCTTAGACCAAAATGCTTCAAGTGTCTCCAACTCCTACCGAGTTGGATCAACGATCCAAGGCTACGATATTGTGGTCATTCGAAGCTGTACGGAGTTCGAATCCGATTTCTTACGTCTCCTCACGGAAAAAGCTCCACTGGAAACCAATCATTCCGATCGGTCTACTCCCTCCGGCACTAACAGTGAAAGATGCCATGGATGAGGATGGCAAGTGGCTAGACCAACAGGGGTGAGGGTCAGTGGGAGAAAGACGGTTCAGCCCAGGGTTAGAATTTATACGCACAGAATACTGTTGGAGTAGATGCCAGTTCGAAATTGATGCCAATTCACGAGCGGGCATTGGTGCATAGAGTGTAAGTTGTTGCCATTTTGAATGCTTATAACTCTAGTGGAAATCAGAAATCAGCATTGGGCCTGTCCGTACTTCTCAGGTGGTTTATATTGCATTCTGGAATGAGGTAACACTGAGCCAAGATGTGTTTGAGTTCACTCTTGGCCTAGAGCTTCTGAGTTGCCCTTTAGGTGTAAAGGAAACCATCCAAGGTAAATTGGCGTTGATCTCTGCCATTGCTGCTGGGGTGTCAAGTCAAGGTAAATTGGTCGCAAAACCTTCCCAAGGTTCTCTATAATAATGTGACTATGATCTTCAAACTTTCAAAGGGTTTGTTTTGATTTTAGCGGATAGATTGATAAAGAAAATTAGATGATACTTGAAAGGCATTTGTGTCTTTTCACATGCCAATTAATGACAGGTTAACGGCTAATACCGGATTATTGCATTTCGAAAGTTCAGGTACCACCATACCAGATTGTCACATTTTAAAGTTTGGAGACCAAATTGTCACTCAAGCCAAAGTATAGGATAATGATCAAAAATTTTCCCAAAATAATTTAACAAGTTATTCAAAGTGTTACAAACTCGGCCTCTGTAAATTCCTATAGACTATAAAGCTTTGAGCCTTTGATCCTTGCTGAAGAACATAAACAAAATGCTTACTACAAATTGGACTTGTTACACGCACTGCTGATATAGCTGATATAGTAGTAGTAGTAAGAACATAGCTGATATAGCACTTGTTAGCTGATGCCAATTTGAGAAGATTCACATCAACACCCATCGAGTTTGAACGAAGACCGCTTGCAGCCAAAGAAATTTTTGTTATTCCATCCATTAGATTTATCATAGATATTGTTTACTCGTACAGAGCCACTACAGCAACCTCTGCACACCCAAGTATTCTAAGTTCAGAAAATCCTTAAAATCATTTTCCACAAAACAAAAATGGATTTCAAGTAGCATATTACCTTTCCCAAAAGCAGGTTACACGCACTGCCCTTTGCTGACCATTTCTTTGGTCTTCACATCTTGCTCCTGCAGGGAAGTCCGCAGTCGATCAAATTTTGAAGCATCACACAAACAAAAGATGATTTTGACCCCATATATTGAGGAAATAATCATTAATTTCCACATCTTTTTTTATTGCCCTTACCAGTGCAATTTACATTACACATCTGGAATATTATGTGGATCCACCAGGACCAACATTGTTCCATATTTCTGGTATGCAATTGTAAGAGATAAAATGTTTCAGTATAAATAAAACACTAGAAAAATTGATTGCCATAAAATGAAAAAATCCAGTTGTTAAAGAATAGAATGGATGTAGGGGTGATCAAGTTCAAAATTTCGACACAACATGCCCATATATATCGTATTGGACCATCAGTGGATGTCTGATACTCAAAATACGGCTTTGGATTTTTGACCATTTCATGGGGTTGGCAGATAATAAACATAGGCATGATGCATCAAATCATTATTTTTATTTGTTTCACAAGATAATATTTGTTTATTAGTTTCTTATTTGTAAGCTTTCTGATTGGTAGTTATTGTAAGGAAGAAACAAGTTCGTTTTTTTTTTTATCAATAACATCAATTTCATTAAATTAAGAGAATAGAGGGAAAGGAATACAAAGTGAGATAAAATAACTTAGCTCCCCAAAAATCAGAAAACTCAGGGTAAGCAAAGAAAATTAAAAACTAGCCCAGAAAACAGCCTCCCTATTCACATCTTGCTTGGCCAACCCATCCGCAAATGAGTTGGCACTCCTCTTCACCCAGCTGTACTGAATCTCTATGTCCCTACCCAGCCATAAGAACTGTTTTTGTCCATCCCCATTAGGTACCCACCCCCCAACCTCGATGGGGTCAGGGATGGAGATTGCCTTGGTGGAGCGGGGACAAGGATTAATAGGGATACCCGACCCAACCGAGGATGGGTCAAGGAGTGAAGTCCCTGGAGGCTCGCCTAGGCGACAAGGTGCCCTTGGACAAAAACATAGTTGTCAAGGTGACGCCTAGGCGACAAGGTGCCCTTGGAGGCTCGCCTCGCCTAATTGCCGAATAGTTTTCTATAGCATGTTATAAAAAACTTTTATATTCTTAATTTTTGAGGTTATAATTATAAAATAGACATTTTTAAACTAAAATATTCATTTTGTGTGTTTACATACTAATTTCTTTTTATTATTTTATTATTTGTTAGGTTTTAATCAACACAAACATTGCTAAATGCTGTATTGAACCCTCAAAGACTTCAAAACCTAAACCAATAAAGAAGAACATTAAATGTTGTTCAATCAACACATTTTCTTCTTTTTCTTTACTAATTTTGTTTGTTTATATACTAAATTCCTCTTCTTCTTCCACCTTTTCTTTTCTTCTTTCCTATAACAGAAATAGGGGTTGAGCCTCTATATTTTTTTTTTCCTTTCTTTCTTCTTTTTCTTCTCATGAATATGTTGGAATATGTTAATTTTCTATATTTAACATGAAGTTTATACTTTTCTTATGAAAATTATGGATATTTATTAAGGAAATATGATTATGAAACCTAGGGAACTATCCTAAGATACATGTTTTTACTTAAAACCATCGCCTAGGTGACTAGGCAACTAAGCACCCCCCTATTGCCTAGCCTCACCTTGGCGCCTTGAAAACTATGATTTTTTGTACGTAAAATAAAAATTATTTTTATTTTTTAGAAAAAGCTTGGCTTGTAGTCGAGCTCGAACTTGCGAGCTTTTGAATCGAGCCAAACTAGAGCTCAAGTCTTTGGTTCGAATTGAGCTCAAGCTCGAGCCTAGCACAATTTCTGCGAGCTGAGCTTGAATAGCCAAGTATTTGGCTCAGCTCTGCTCGAATCCACCCCTACTCTATCAAGGTTCCAAGTGATACATGTTGTACGTCTCTGAAGAAGCAAGGGAAATCAATCGATCATAGAATGGTAGAAGGTACGCTCTATTTTGGAACAAAAACAGAAGCTTTGCCCCTTTTTTTTCTTTTTTGGAACAAAAACAAAGGCCCTGCCCCTTCTTTTTCTTTTTTTGGAACAAAAAACAGAGGCTCCGCCCCTTCTTTTTCCGTTTTATTAGGAACAAAAACAAAGGCTATGCTTCATTTTGGAACACAAAACATGGGCTTTGCCCCTCCTTCCTCTTCCAGTTCTTCATGGAACAAAGAATAGGGGTGGACTGGAACAAAAACAAGGGCTCCTCCTCCCACTCCTCTTCTTCTTCTAAAACGAAAAAAAAGGGTTTAACCCTTCTTTTTCTTTTTCTTGAAGAAAAATTCATCTTCATCCTTTTTTTGAACTAAAACCTTCTTTTATTTCTATTTCAATGGAAAAAATAGAGGCCTATCCCTTTGTTCTATTTTTTTAGACACCAAGCGACACTAGGCAACCAGGCGACTAAGCACTCCCCCATCACCTAGGTTCACCTTGGCCCCTTGAAAACCATATATTACATTATGTAATACATAAAGTTACACATATTTTAACATGTGAAATATTATATGCATTTAATATTTTCTACATAAAAGTCATATGCCCATAACCAGGCCTCGTTCATGACCATCCTTATATGGATGTCGATGATTCCATCCAAGCAAGAATATGAACTTCACACATGTAATTTTTATGCACATAAAAGGAGCAGAGCAGCTTTATAATAAAGAACTCCCAAGCAAAGAAAGTCAGAAGATAAGCAGGGTCCAACTTCTTTGCATAATAGAAACACATTTCTTTGGCATGCCATGCCTAAACAAGGCATCTGATTTTGGTAAAGTCAAACCAATCCACGGGCAAAGAAAAATGAAAGCCTTTGATGCATCTCAGTTGACTATGAACAGAGAGTGACACTATTATTTGATCAAGATAGTTCTAGAGAGTCCACCATGCTTAACTTTGGCAATTCTTCCCTAGGAAATCTTGGTCCTTTTGATCAAAGAATTTTTTTTTCTTTTGAGATAAATAGCAGCATTGTATTAATAAAAGAGAAGATAACCCAGTTCTGTCCAGAGTAGAGAGCAGGGACACTACAAAGGCATCAGAAAGCTGATCAAACGAAAAATGTGATTCTACTCAGGATACAAATTAACCACAGGATCAGGCAAACCCCATAAAAACCGTTGAGAATTAACTCCAGCTCAAGCTAAACTATTTCCTAGGGAGAGTTGGATAATCTTGGGATCCACTTGGACGAGCATTTCAGGTTTCTCCCCAGGTTTATGGCCTCCTAACCAGGACTCTGAAACTCCAAGCTGGTTCTGCATCAGAGTTGACCCATGAGATAACTACTTTACAATAACCATCCCAAACAATTCTGTAGTGCTAACAGTTAAAGTCCGTGTATCACCAACAATTCAGCCCTCAAAGAGATACCTGCGTCACAGAAACTTAACTTGATGGAACCAGCCTCATCCCTTACCACACCACTGACCCCTGATTCACCCAGGTTACCCAGCAGCAGCCATCAAAATTGAGCTTGAGAATTGAGACTGATTGCTTGTGGTGGCTGCCAAGCAATTTATATCCTTGATATGCTGGGATGCCAATAATGGATTGCCACCCTCGTAACAAACAATCCATTTTAATATCTTTAGATTTTTCACATTCTAGCAATCAATGGGCTACCCTTGATCAGATTAGTCAAAACACCCACCCTAACTCATTAACAAACACCTGCATTTCTTTCCCCCCACATGCTCCACAGTATTGCTACCCTTGTGCAATGCCACAACAATTTAATTCTATTAGTGTAACAGCCAAGTAGGTCTTGTGAAAAAAGCTTCAAGACATTTTGAGGGACAGCCCAAGACTTCCCAAACAGATTGAAAAAATTTCATGTCGCTACCCATGGAAATGGAAATATGTCGTTGAAATAGTAGGAAATTTAGGGACATTTTAAACCATGATGGTCACCTAGCCTCACCTTGGCACCTTGAAAACTATGGTGGGGATAAGCACCATGGTTTTATCTAGCTTTGGAGTCTACCACAGGTGTTAATAATTTGGAGAGAAGTTTCCCAACAGAAAACCTTGATCTTTGATGGGGAGGGGCCTATCCAAATGGGTTTCTAAGGAAAAGATGATGAGAGCAATGTTCTGAAAATTGTAATCGTATTGTAAATTGTAAAGAGGTTTGAATCATATCATATCATAAATCATAAGATTTTTTCTGATTTTTCTAAAAGTAGTCAAAAAAACTATAAAAAATACCCAAACCTCTCAAAAAATAGAAAAATGACTTTGTATTAATTTTCAACCTATAGACATAATATAAGTAGGTAGTAATAGTGAGCCTATGTTCTTACTAATCCACTATATTAGTTATCTTGTGATCTTATCTCCAAGTTTTTAAGGGAAAAGAATCATAATGTTTCTAATCCCTAATTCCCTATAGTTTCAACTTCAAGTTTCAACAATTTAAGTCAAACATGCAATTCATGAAAAATACTAAAATGAGAGAGAGAGAGAGAGAGAGACTTTCTCAGCCTAACACACATCCAAGAACATGTTAATTCAACAAAATAACACATTTATATAGACTTACATAAGGAATTAAGAAGTAAACAAATTATAAGCCAAACCATGCCCATCAAACTAGCATAAATAAAGACTTGCACACTACCACACCGGAGCTAACAAAGAAATCTTTGTAGTTTCAGAATTCAAACACAAATACGAAATTTCTAATTCCTTTTTTTTTATCAATAACATCAATTTCATTAAATTAAACAATACTAAATTTCTAATTCCTGGATACTCTAATTCTTGAGTTACCTAGGTCTGGGTAGTCTCCAGACCAGAACTGGACACCCCAACAAGAACACATCCCCCCTTGATAGAGCCACTTGCCTTGCACATGGAAAAAATACGAGGCAAAGACTACATCCTATTTATGATAGGGTTTGCGATGTATTTATCTTCTTATTAGTCATTTTCCACCCAAAGAACTGGAACTTTTGGAGGAATGATACATTTGTAACCAATGACCGAAGTGGGCCAGCAAATGGAAACATTCATGCTCTTAAAGAAAAATACATGGGAAAAATTCCAATCATCATATAGCTGACATGGGATGAGAGAAATGGCCTCATCTACAGAGGAAGAACTCCAAACCATTGCATGTAATTCAAAATACTAAGCTCCTTCCTTCCTAATAATCTTAATAAAACTCAAGAGAAATCAAATGACCAAAGAATGAAACTGTTAAGTCATCTCCAACGTTACCAAGGGACCAATTACAAAGTATTCATAAATGGAACCTTTGATAGGAAGTCAAAAACAAATTGCCAACAAACCAAGCAAAGATGAGTTTTGGGCAATCATCAGGACCTTAAGAAGACTGATCAATAGGAAAATTCATAGAGCAGCACTTTTTTGTGGAGGGAGTAATCACCAACATTCTGCAAATTATTGATGAAGCTACTCTTACATGACAAATTTCGATAGCTCATCTGTAGGAACCTTTTGTTTTTTTTGTTTTTTCTTTTTTTCTGTTGTGAACTTATCTATGTAAATAGGTCAAAGAATGTCCTCTTATGAGCCTCCTATATAAGGTTAGCAACTTTTCAATTAAATGAAGGAGCCATCAAACCATGTAATTAACAGGGGAATGCTGCGACCACGGTGGTCTCAGCAGATGCCAAACATTACTCGATTATATCCTGCTGAACAAGTTTTCATCATTCCAGCTGAAGCATTGATTATTTTCTTTAGCCAAGATTCAGAAGCTGTTCCAGTATGACACGAAAATCTAATGGAAAAATAATTGAAGGGATAATTACTCGTTTTGCGTTTTTTCCGAGCATACCAATTACCAAACATTTTAAAACCATACAACTAAATCATGAATGTTAACAAATCCAATGAAAAGACATTGGATTGAAAACGACATGCAGTTTTTTAAAATTTATCTCATTTATTCCTTCACTATTACAAAACATTTTAAAACCATACAACTAAATCATGAATGTTAACAAATTCAATGAAAAGACATTGGATTGAAAACGACATGCAATTTTTTAAAATTTATCTCACTTATTCCTTCACTACAAGGGATACTCATACCTTCAGATCCCACCAACCAACCTTAAAATATAAGTTCCAGAAAACCCAAGAAGAAGAAGAAGAAGAAGAGAATCAACAAACTGCCTTAAATCAACATAAACAAACAAGCTTCTAAACCTCGACATCGACGAATCGGGTCGAAAAATCTATCAAAAACCACCAATTTAAATCAAAATGAAAAAACGAACAACTAAATCAAACTCACCATTCCCGTGCTTTCATAGTAGTCGTTCAACGCCCATTGATACTTCGACTGGTTTAACCCAAACCAGTCCGCTAGATACTCATCAATACACGAATGCGCTGCCACAAACCCCCTAAACCGTTACGAAAACCCTAAATACCGAAAGATCCACCGCAACTTAAACCGTAAGAACCGAGAAAGTTACCATTTTGCACTTTAGCAACAGCATCCCAAAATAACCCAAACATAGAAGAGTTCGACCGCGACTTCTCGAACTGCTGAGGGGGAGGCTGAACCGGCGGCAAAACCACCTTCGAAGATGGAATCTTCGGCAACTCAGCGGATGGCTCAGAGGGTGTCGGAGTTACCAGAGGAGTGAGTGGGGGCTTTGGAGTTGACGCAGGACTGACAGGGAGTTTAGGAGTGGCAGGAGGAGTGATGAACACAGTGTACCTCCCAGCTTTACCGATCACCGGTGGCGGTGTGGATTCTTTGGTGATCGTCATTTCGAAGCAAATTCAGTTGCAGAGATAAAACGCGAGAATCAAAACGAACTCAGATAAGATTACGAAGGAAACCCATGGAAAGGAAAGATGTTCGGACTTCGTAGATGGAAGAGTTAAGTTCGCGAGAATGAAAGAGCATCTTCCACAAATCGGTTTCCGTGGGGTTTTATTAAAAACCCCCTTCCAGGCACCGGCATCCCCATGCTGCTGCACATCTTTGTCCGCTTCATATCTTCGTTGTTTAATTGCGTCAAGATCTTTGTCCTCTTATTGTGATGCCAACAAAATATGTTCCAACAACCACCGAATATGATTTGCTATGAAAGTGAGACCGATTACAAAAGTGGGACCCGTTATGTATTAGATGTGCGGTGTCAGATAACGTTGAGAGGGTGTTGGAATGCACATTGTTGGTAGATGGTCCGAACTCCCTCGTATTATTTATTTATTGCTTAAATATTTAAATACCCCTCGTTTTGCAGCAATATCTGCGTGTTTAAAGAATACCTTGAATATCCTTCGATTTAAACAAAAAAAAAAGGTTCAAATATGATATGGAAAACATATGATATAGAAAAATCAATTGACCAATAAGGTGTTTGATTGGTGTTATTTATCAAAATTCATCGATGGGTTTTGATTGGTAAAAACTCTTTTCATACTACATCATAAATTTGACATCACAGTGAAATATATATCTATTTTAACTTTTTTTTTTCAAATTTTCAAAATATGACCAAGAAAATTCAAAATCAAGACATGCTCGACCAACCCAAGAGTGCATAGCTAGTAGTTGGGCACGAGGCCAAAATAGAGTTGAGAGTTGAGGGAAGGAGTTCTCACCAAATCCCAAATTAGTACCAGTTTGGAAGGAGTATAAATGCAAATAAGTAGAGTATTACAAAGACCCCTCCTATACTATGGGATTTGTGACAAAGACCCCCCTGTACTTTGTTTTGCAATAAAAACTCCTGTATTATGACCATGAGACAAAGACCCCCTTCCGTTAGCCTTCTGTCCAAAAGGCCGTTATAATATTTTTTAATCCCCATACTACCTATGTAATAACTAGACGAAAAAAACACTATTCATCTTTCCTGACCTTCTGATACTACCCTTTTGTTCCTTCACATTTCTCTCTCTCTCCTCTCTTTTCCCCGATCTCTCTTCTTGCCCTTCCCCTTAACAGTGTCGGGATCTCCATTCTCTATTCTCGGTTATCACATTTCTGTGGTTCTTTCATTAGAGAATTCTACCTCCACGCTATGCATGCATCAAGAATATAAAAACACCAGAAACCTATTCTGAAAGGATCTTTGTTGGTTGTCTGTTATGCTTCAAAAAGATAACAAAATGTTGATAGACTAGGAGGGGCACTTGATCTGGGACTGGGAAGAATAAAAACTAAACGCTAGCTGGTTGTTGCTACACCCTCTAGTAACCTAGGACCTCTAGGAGTCGGTGGTCATTAATGGACTGTTTTGCTAATTTGTACATACCCAATAAGGAAAAGACTTCTTGCCCTCCTTCAGAGTTCAAACACTGTTATTAAAGATAATTATTCTTCAGACTGGACTGGGTTGATAGTTGAAGAGGATTGTTCTTTGTTAATGAGTAGTTAGTTGGTTTCCAGTAAGAGCAGAAGGTCCTAGAGCAAAAGGCTTTGGCTTCCAAGATGAACTTTTCATTCAAATGGAATACCTAGATATGCCAACAGCCTTCCAGACCAATTAGTGAGAACAGGGGTGAATAGAAAGACATAAAGTTAATTGTGGGGAAAGGGGATAGCAAGTCTAGGTTTGCATCTGTGAATCTGCATGTAGTTTTGTAGTTCTTGGTCCTCAGGGGTTATGGGTCCTTATAACATATGTACTTGTCTGTCATCACTTGCACCAAGCTACCAAGAAATGGCTCTAACATGAATATCACTAGTCCAAAATTATAAATTCCAAGCGCAAAAATAGAACCAACGCAAAGATTTTTAGGGGTTGTTACTGCTGGATGTTAGTCTTAAACTCAAACGTGAGAGTTGTTATATATGCATGGAATGCAACATCGCCTTTGATCCATTGGGTTCAACATAGAATTTGTCAAGTGGTATACCAATATGAGCATCATTAACAATAAAGTTCATCGTTCAAAACCACGGTTGATGACTCTAGACTATAAGCATCTATCTAGTGATAGAGATAAGCTTTGCCTTTTTCGGCTGTTGATGTACTCACTTCAGATTTTTGGGTTCTGGGGCATCAGAAAATTTAATGGATTCTCGATCGTATTGACCTTTTGATTTTATTCGAGAATCCTTTACACATACATGATGATCCAACAGGCGCACTGGGAAGGATTGAAGCCAATGTTGGTGAAAGACTAGATGAAGTAATGGCTAAATTTGAATGGGTTCAGCTTTATCCAGATGCCAAGTGCTTCCGTATCTCAGGCAATTAACTTTAGATCCCCTCTCGCCCCTATCATAACGTTGTCGTGCAGGCTAAGCTTTCTAAGAGCTTGAAGTTGGGCAATCTTCTCGATGATATGGGTAGACATCTATTGTTGGGCTATCAAGCATTGTAGTTTCCCATGATCACGTCATCGTTGGCGATGGCTATAGAGACGAGATTAAAGACAGAGAAGAGAAGAAAGGGAAGATGAGAAATGGGTTTCTTCCGTCATTTCATTTCGGAGAGTTGGGAGAGAGAAAGAATGAGAGAGGACAGTAAGGGATGGGAAAAGAAGAGAAGAAAGGGAAAACAATAGGTTTTAAGAGAAAAATGGCAAAAAAAAGAAAATAGAAAAAGTTTAGTGGGTATTTTGGTAATTTAATGCATTCCGTCATTTGACTTAACAGTCAAGGGGGATCTTTATCTCATGGTCATAGTACAGAGGGGTCTTTGTCACAAACCTGTAGTACGGGGGGATCTTTATAATTTACCCTTTATATTATTTTATATGTATTTGCATTGTACATATTTGCATTTGTACTTTTTTCAAACTGAGCCCAAACTTCAAAATAGAGTTCAAATCAGCCCCCCACAAGACTGCGTCCCACAATATATCATAACACATCCCCACTGTGTATTAGGAACATCTCCAAATGATGACATCACCATTTCTGATACTATTATTGGGAGATGTTCCTAATACACAGCGGAGATGTGTTATGATACGTTGTGGGGCGTAATCTTGTGAGGGACTGATTTAATCTCTTCAAAATATGCCATTATAATACTTAACTTTATTCAGTTGGTTTTGAAAATATCATTAGAAGAAGATATTGTTTATTGTATTCTACATTAAAATCATGAGATTCAGGTACTTCAACTATTACCAAGCAACCCTCAGCCATCTCAATACTAAAGAGAAGAGAGGCTTAGGGTTTCACTCATTCTTTTCTTTCTTCCTCTGTTACTGTTGCTATAAGATCTACTTGGTCGAGAGAAACTCTAACAGCAGCCATGACAACACAAAAGGTAGGAGGCCGACATCCAGATGATCGATGTTGGTCGTGAACGTCCTTCTTGAGACCAAGAACCACGATTTCCAATGTCTTCAAGAGGCGAACTGACGGTATATTCATTAGGGTAAAATACAAAAACCTCCCCTGAAGTTTTGGACAATCATAAAAACCTCCCCTATAGCTTAATTTTAGCAAAATCCTCCCTTCTATTTAAAAAAAAAATGACAAAAACCTCCCTTCCGTCAATGACCCAGACGGAAAACATTAAATTGATGATCATTTTTTTTCAAAATACCTATTTTACACTTTTACGAATTAATGTGCATATGTTTTACTAAAATAGCCTTGTCACTCAAACACTATTCATCTTCTTCCTCACACAGAGCGGCAGAATAGCGGTGCACTCCATAATAATCCGCTCGAACATTGTTCATCTTCTTCAACTGCTTCGCCATTAAAGCGTTCACGGAGTCCCACACGAGAAATCTGTAGGTTCTTCTCACGGAATCTTGCACGAGAAATCTGTAGGTCCTTCCTCTCCCTCTAGATCCAAAGCAAAATTCACCCGCCAGCTATAGAAAAAAAAATAGAGCACTTCTGGGTTTTTGCTCTCGCTGCAAAATACAGTGCTTTCTCCTCCACTAATCTCCTCTCCTCTTTACTTCTCCTGGGTTTAGCTTGTTTAACAGTGGCTCTTCTTTACTGGGCTTACCCAGGTGGACCAGAGCAACAAGTATAAAGATTGACCTTAGCAACCAAACAAAGCCTTGGCTTTTTACTTCAGTTTTGGTTGGACACAGACCTGCCAAATCTTTGCATAAACCAGGATTGCCCAAGAAGCTACCCTTGTAAGCATCTTTAGCGTAGAGAGGGGGAATATCTCCAGGGAGGCGGTTGTTTGAAAGGTTGAAACGATTAAGCTTCAAGTTCTGCAATTCAAGTGGGATTTGACCAGAGAAAAGATTGCCCGAGAGATCAAAGTAATTAAGTACCGGTAATGTCCCAAGTTCTTCTAGAATTTCACCGGCTAGTCTATTGTTTGAGAGGTTCAGTTCATTGAACTTCTTCATTGACCGGATTCCTAATGGATGCTGACCTGAGAGCTGGTTATTGTGAAGATCAAGTGTGGTGAGTTCATAAGATGCACCAGTGTTGCAAGTAGCGGGCCGTTCAGCTTGTTATCACCAGCATAGAACTCAATGAGATTATTCAATGATCCAACTTCTTCCGGGATGCTCCGTATAAGTTGGTTATTCGAAATAAGCAGGAACGAAAGATTAGAGGCGTCGAAGATTGTCTTAGGGATCCCACCAGAAAACGAGTTTCCAGCAAAGAAGAGCCACTAGGTAAATCCAAGCGGTCCACCTGGGTAAGCCCAGTAAAGAAGAGCCACTGTTAAACAAGCTAAACCCGGGAGGAGTAAAGAAGAGAGGAGATTAGTGGAGGAGAAAGCACTACATTTTGCAGCGAGAGAAAAAACCCAGAAGCGTCTATTTTTGTTTCTATAGCTGGCGGGCGAATTTTGCTTGGATCTTGAGGGAGAGGAAGAAGGGAGGTTTTTGTCAATTTTTTGAAAATAGAAGGGAGGATTTTGCTAAAGCTAAACTATAGGGGAGGTTTTTATTATTGTCAGAAACTTCAAGGGAGGTATTTGTATTTTACCCTATTCAGTATTAACCTTGGGAAAACATGGGAGAAGTTGCAACTTGCAGTTAGGGTTAAGGTTATTGTTGCAATAGAAAATCCCCAAGATATTATTGTTCAATCTACAAATGC